TAAAAGCCAACGGGCAGAAGCTGAGAGCGCTTGTACCAGGACTGTGTACAGGTGATGGAGGCCAAGGAGTTGCTGGGTTGGGTTTGCTTGCCCCTCTCTCAGCTAATGAACATCTGTACAGGTGGTGGTTTATTTCTGCATCCTTTTTCTTCCTGCAGCGTCTTTGATGCTGTTTGAAGGTCACAAGTCTGACAATCATTTTTCATCGGTTTATACTTATTATTAATTTTTAAATGGTGTGTTAACTTTTATAGACATATTGAAATACTCATTTGTTATGTCTACAGCACATCTCTATTTAAAAAAAAAAAAAAAAAAATTGAATTAATGCTAGAGAAGCAAACCCACCCCAGGTGAGAAAGGTTCTATTCTGCTCTAATAACTTGGCTTTTTACCAGACATTGTAATACTTTTTTTTTTTTTTTTTTCTTCAGCAGCAGAAGGCTAAGGGTATAAATTGAATCCAAGTAGATGAATCGCTGCCATCAGTTCAGTTGTGCTTTACCTGAATCCACAGGGCAGCGGGCAGGAGCTGAGACAGCGGTTCAATTAAGATTGTGCTAGAAGTAAATCCATTGTATTGTTATAGAGGCTTTCGATTATAAAATTCTTCCATGGAATAGGGTGAGCTGACAAGACAGGCCTGAATGGTGCTTTTGTCCTGTTTGTACAAAAAGTGATTAGACTAGGGTAGGTCTGGGGCAGGGGGAGAGCCCTCCGGATGCTTAGATGACTTATTTTACTCTCCTATTTTATTGAAATAGATGCGTGCTTGCTTTCCTTACTCCCCAGCTGTAAACACATTCCTTTCCTTTGTCTTTCTGGGGGCTTGTGATTTCACAGACTTGACCTGACTAGCTCAGTTTCTTCTCCAGCAAGCAAGCAGTCCTGAGTGGGACCATGGTGAGGGGTCTGGAGAATAAGTCTTATGAGGAGAGGCTGAGGGAGCTGGGGTTATTCAGCCTGGAGAAGAGGAGGCTGAGGGGAGACCTTATTGCTCTCTACAACTCCCTGAAAGGAGGGTGTAGAGAGGTGGGGGTCGGTCTCTTTTCTCAAGTCACAGGCGACAGGACTAGAGGAAATGGCCTCAAGTTGCGCCAGGGGAGGTTCAGGCTGGATATTAGGAAAAATTTTTTCACTGAAAGGGTTCTCAGGCATTGGAATGGGCTGCCCAGGGAGGTGGTTGAGGCACCATCTCTGGAGGTGTTCAAAAGACGGGTTGATGTAGTGCTGGGAGGTATGGTTTAGTGATGGTGATGCTTCTTGTTTGTTGTGTGGGTGTCTATTTTTGTCAGTTAGGTTGACGGTTGGACAAGATGATCTTTAAGGTCCCTTCCAACCTAGAAGATTCTGTGATTCTGTGATCTCCTGCCGCAGCTTCAGAGAAGTTTAGGTGCCTGAGTTTAAAAGGCCAAGTTGCCAGCTGTTTCATTGAATTATTTTACACCATCAGACCGCATCATACCAACAATCCTTTCTCTCCAGAATTTAAAAATAACTTGATGATATCTCCTTTACAAGGACTCGAAAACTCTGTTGGCATTTAAATTTATCTTCCCTCAAAAGCATTGCAGTCAGTGCCTTCGACTTTGCAGCTACGTTGAGGGGTAGAAAATTCTAGCTGTTATAGCTGTGGGGGCAGCCTAAAGAGCTGTCTGTCTTGTAATTGGTTTAATGGTTTCTAATTGTAGAAAGGTGCCTTAAATACTGCTGCTCTCAGGACTTTTTTCAAGCTATATGAATGTGAAATCAGTGTAAACTCGTGTTTCCTCTGCTGCCATTCACAATTTGCTACCTGGTTCACAAATGCTGTGTCTGCTTGGAAAAAATTGTGTAGGGGCAGCAGAGATTGAACTGAACTACTGCATGCAAGAACCCCAAAAGAGACCTCTTCAAGTAGTAGGTTGACTGCATAGTCAAGAGTCTTGAAAAGAGCTGGCTACTGATGATAGAAACTTGGAGATTGAGGGGAAATGATACTCCAAACGCTTTTTGGGAGGAGTACCAAACTGTGTCTTGCTGAGGTTTGTGCTTCTGAGAGGAGGTAGGTCTATGTGCACATCCATCCTGCCCTGCCTGCAGTTCCTTTCATTTCTTTACTGAAAGGGTTGTCAGGCATTGGAATGGACTGCCCAGGGAGGTGGTGGAGTCACCATCCCTGGAGGTATTTAAGAAACGTGTAGACATGGCTCTTCAGGGCATGCTCTAGTGCCCAAGGTTATTGGTTTGTGGTGGGATGTTGTGTGGGTAGGTGATGGTTTTGGTTTGGTGGTGGTTGTTGTGTGTTTAGGTGGTGGGCGGTGGTTTTTTTTTTTTTTGTGGTTTTTGTTTGTTTGTTTGTTTTGGTTTTTTTTGTGGTTGGACTCTGAGGTCCCTTCCAACCACTACGATTCTGTGACTTGGGCTGGCAGGAGCTCCTTCAAGCAAGGGGGTTTGCTTCCCTGATTGCTTGGTATCTAACAGATTTCTCTCCAGCCTTTCCAAGCTGTGAAGGTAGCAGTGACATTAGCTGTTCATAACCCGCTGTCTGCCTTTCTCTCAGATGTATTTCATGTGCAACCTCAGGCTTTTCTCATTTGCAGCTTAACTTTGTTATAAGGTGACTGCTTTTACTTCCAACTTCATTGATATCTATTACAAACTTGCCCTGCAGTTCAAGAAAGAAGGTGCCTTGGTTTCCATGAGCAACTCTACGTGGAAGTCATAGTGTGCATGGTTTTTACAGTACTGATGATATATTTTGACTTTCTGTTGTTATTCAGGGAATTTGGAAGGGGTTTTTTTCCACAAATGCTGGCTTACTCTGCATTAACACTTCGAGTTCACCAAGCTGCTGTATATAGGAGCTAAGGGATGCAGCAGTGCAACTGAGAGCAATCAGAGGGCAGTCACCCTGTAGCACGTTGTTTTTGGAGGGTGCAGCTGAATATTAAGCACGTTTCCAGGGCGAGCTGTCAGCTTTGACGTTTGGATGCCGCATAATGTAGATGGTATAGTTGAACTGGAAAACCTCTACAGCATCTGAACAAAGATCCTGCCTGCTGGAGGGAGACTCTGCTACCTACCACAAAAAGTTCTGCTTCGCTAAGTGGTGTGGGTGTGTTTGGAGGGGAGTAGAAAATGGTGCCTGAGAGCAAGACCTCCATGCTGTTGGCGTGTGTGCTGGACCTAATTGAGGTGCTCTGAATGGGGTATTTGCTAACTGCAAGTTGTGATTGTCAGCTCTGCTAGACAGAGACATTTAGGTGGTAAAATACCCTGCTGGTAAGTACGTGTGTTGTGTTTACACAGTTCTGAACCTGTGCTTTTGTTCCCCAGTATTGAGTTTGACCGAGACTGTGACTACTTTGCCATCGCTGGGGTGACAAAGAAGATTAAAGTCTACGAGTATGGTACAGTCATTCAGGACGCGGTGGATATTCACTACCCTGAGAATGAAATGACCTGTAATTCCAAAATCAGGTAAGCATTGACTTTGCATTTAAACTCAAAGGGCCTTTTCCTTTGAACACTGCTTGTTGATGTGCAGAAGCTGTTTCGCTTGCTTTATCCATTGTGGGAATGGGAGGGGAAAGGAGGAAAGCAGGAGCTGATGGAGAGCTTGCTTTGAACTTGGGTGAGGTCAGGTGGCACAAGCACTGTTACTTGTGTATGCTGGGCTCATCCAAGGTAATAGCACGCCCACGTATCCAGAGGAAAAGGGACATAGGGTAGTGAAATGCTTTTGTATTCCTTTCTAATGCAAGTCACTTAAAAGGAGAGTAAAAGCAGAGTAGTGGATATGCTCCAGGTAAAGTCTTAATATGTCTCAAGGTAACTTCTGTTCCCAGTTCTTTATAATAAGCACTGATTCCCTCATGCTATATTCTCTTCATTGACAAGAACCTTTCTGTTCTGCTGAGAGGCTGCTAGTCTTTGGGAGACTTGCCTCACTTGCACCTTCTGCCTATGAATTTACGTCTGCCTGAAGTGCTGTTGTGCTGGGCCTCAAAATATCAAGCTGTTGGGAGAAGACCGTGCTTGATTTTGGCTTTTGTGCTGCTATCGTTACTGTCAACCTATTTTTAAAATCTTTTTAGATGACTTAAATAAAAGAAATATAGATCACTGTGTCAGAACTTCAATTGAGAAACCTGGCTAGTGTAGATTAAAAATCCCTAAAAATTCAAAAATGCTTTTAAAGCTCAAAAGTAAGTAGTTTGTGCAATAAAACCAATTCAGTATTATAATACAAGTTGTTTTTATTTGGTACTCTCCGTTTTAAAAACAGTAAAGCACCCACAAAAGTGTAAGCAATAAATTTATATAACAGTCTAGCTTCTATGAACATAAAATGTTGTGCAACATGATTAATAATGCTTGCAAGCTTACTTTATAATATAAAATCACGCTTATTTTTGTACTTGACATGTTCCTTAAAATAGATCAGTCACTCCTGTATCACTTGTGCTGATTATTCTTGGGAATTGTGTAACACTATTTTATGAAGGAAAAAAATGTAAATGCAGCTGACCCTGGGACTTCCTTTCAAGATGGGTATAAACAGTCAGAGGGATTTGTATTGGTGAGACATACTGATTATGGAGCTTGTGTTTTGCTGGACTTGAGAAACATTCAGCATTTTTGACTGAGTAATAGCAGAGTTGACACCATTCAGCTTCATTATTCTGGAGAGATGAATAATAGAATCATCTAGCAGTCGATTAATACCTCTTGCCTTAATTAGAAAAGGAAAGCAATGTGTATTCAGTATTTCTCTGACTTCCAAACTTCAAATTTAGCAGGGATCTACCCTCATGATCCTGCTAGGTGTAGGCAGCTGTTGGTGAGGAGAGCTGCATTAGCACTTCCAGTGATGTTACTCCTGTCAGCTCTGTCCTCCAGGCAAGACACCACTTGCATTCAAGATTTATTCTCTCTTCTCAAATTTCATGTGTATATACATTATCTATAGATATGTGACAATGCTGAGTGTATTGTCCTCTGACACTATACCCCAGCATAGATGGACAGGGTCCTCTTCTTTCATTTCCTTGCCTAAGTTTCTCTCGTTCCTCCAAAGAAATGCTTGCTGCTTTTTTTTTTTTATTTTCCCCATTGGCACCTCTACATTATATTAGCCTTCCTTCAGCATGTGGGTGCTTTTGGTTTTGACAAATAAAGTTAGCCTGTCAGTCAGATGCATCCTTGCTATATCCATTAGCTGGGCTGCCAGTCACTCCTGCTGGGGCTCACTGGCACAGTGTGGAGCAGCACAATAACTTGCTATTCTGAAGTGGCGTAGCTTGAGGGAGAAGCTATATAGGAAGGCTGTAATTTCATTACAGAATATTGCAATACGCTGAAAATGTGCCTGTATTATAATAAAAAAATCTAAACAAGTGGAGCCTGCTTTTTGTAAAAAGCCTTGGCTTAAAGCTGTTGATCTTAATTTGGGTGAAGGTACAGCTTTTTCTGGAGGCTTACTCTCCCTGCTAATGCCCTTTCTGATATCACAGATGTATTTCTGCTGTGACACATGGATGGTACCTCTCTTGTCCATCATCTCTTAAGGATTCTGCTAAAACGCTTGGTTGGAGTTTTGGGCTCTCTTGTCCATCATCTCTTAAGGATTCTGCTAAAATGCTTGGTTGGAGTTTTGGGCCCCATCATGGTGCTGTTATTAAAAAAAATTAAAAAAAAAGAAGAATCCTCATGTAATAGAACTGCCTTGTGCAAAGCTTTATGCCTTGGCTATTTTTTTAGTAGGCCTTTTAAAAAAAAATAAAAATCAAAACACGTTAAAAAAAATTAAAAAAAGAAGAATCCTCATGTAATAGAACTGCCTTGTGCAAAGCTTTATGCCTTGGCTATTTTTTTAGTAGGCTTTTTAAAAAAAAAAAATCAAAACACTATGAGGTAGTGGGTTAATGGTTATTTTGCAGACAGGTGAGGGTGCTTAGCTGCTGCCATGCTTTGTGTGGGGTGGCAGTGAATCTTTTTTCTTCCAATTTAAAACTGTTTCCCCTTGTCCTGTCATTACCCTTCCTGACAAAGAGTCCCTCCCCAGCTCTTCTATAGTCATGGTGCTGTTATTAAAAAAAATTAAAAAAAGAAGAATCCTCATGTAATAGAACTGCCTTGTGCAAAGCTTTATGCCTTGGCTATTTTTTTAGTAGGCTTTTTAAAAAAAAAAAATCAAAACACTATGAGGTAGTGGGTTAATGGTTATTTTGCAGACAGGTGAGGGTGCTTAGCTGTTGCCATGCTTGGTGTGGGGTGGCAGTGAGCCCCTGAGCACCCATCCCAGGGTATTTTCTGCTCCAGCAGCCTGAAGCCACAGCAGAGATGCAGGGATCCCTGTGCATATGGGATGTGGTGACATGTCTCTTCTGTTGAAGCTGGTGTGTGACACTGGCATGGCTTGTAATGCCCTTTCCATCCTCACCCAGCACTAGAGCTGTCTGTCTGCAGGCACTTTGGCTTTCCTAACGCGCGTCACGGGAAGCTCACCCTAAATTGATCCTGGTTAAAAAAAAATCAAAACACTATGAGGTAGTGGGTTAATGGTTATTTTGCAGACAGGTGAGGGTACTTAACTGTTGCCATGCTTTGTGTGGGGTGGCAATGTGCACTGTCACCAGTTCCAGTGTCTCACCACCCTCATAGTAAAAAATTTCTTCCTGAGATCTAATCTGAATCTTTTTTCTTCCAATTTAAAACTGTTTCCCCTTGTCCTGTCATTACCCTTCCTGACAAAGAGTCCCTCCCCAGCTCTTCTATAGTCATGGTGCTGTTATTAAAAAAAATTAAAAAAAGAAGAATCCTCATGTAATAGAACTGCCTTGTGCAAAGCTTTATGCCTTGGCTATTTTTTTAGTAGGCTTTTTAAAAAAAAAAAATCAAAACACTATGAGGTAGTGGGTTAATGGTTATTTTGCAGACAGGTGAGGGTGCTTAGCTGTTGCCATGCTTGGTGTGGGGTGGCAGTGAGCCCCTGAGCACCCATCCCAGGGTATTTTCTGCTCCAGCAGCCTGAAGCCACAGCAGAGATGCAGGGATCCCTGTGCATATGGGATGTGGTGACATGTCTCTTCTGTTGAAGCTGGTGTGTGACACTGGCATGGCTTGTAATGCCCCTTCCATCCTCACCCAGCACTAGAGCTGTCTGTCTGCAGGCACTTTGGCTTTCCAAACACACATCATGGGAAGCTCACCCTAAATTGATCCTGGTTAACCTCGTTCAGAGCGACGATGCTGGGACATAAATCATTAGCGGTTATATCGGTGACTCAGCTTTGGGTGAGGAGCAGCTCTGATGGGCTTTTATAAAAGCAGACAGGTGACAGCATTTGGGAGGACTTGTGTCTGGCCAAGAGTAAGTCTGCTGGCCCCGGAGCAGCTGCGGGAAGGGAAGCCCTTGCCTGGGACGGGGCTGGCACTAGCCCAGCCCTGCTCCACCGCGTGCCAGCTGGGCGCCTGCTGAAAGGTTGAGCTTCATGCCAGCAGTAATTGATTGTAGGCTTTTCTGGAGCCGAGCCCTGGTACCAGCTGTAGCTGAGTCTTTCTTCCTCTTTTTCCAACTCCCTTTTTACACCCACCTGCTTCTTAAATACATTCTTTTTTTTTTTTTTTTTTCATCATCTGCTGAGATTTCTCATCCCTATTTTTAAGAATGGGGAGGAAGTCGGTGTGTTGGGTTTCTGGTAAATGTGCATTGCGTCCCCCGGGAATGACAGTGGCATAAGCTTCCAGGAAAAACACAAGATGACACATAAATCCTCATAAAAATCCCATTTACAGATTCATAGCTTCAGTACAAGAAACAAATCCTGGCATTGTGTAGTAGCTATAAACAGCACCCTGTGAGCTAATTATGACTTGCTGTGTCCCTAGCTATAGCAGACAATAATCTGCAGCTCCCCCCACGCAGGAGGAGATGGGAAAGGACAAGAAGAGATTGAACGGCCAGCAGCAAGCCACAGCTCTTCTCTGATTTATTCAAGAGGCAGATTTGTTGTTTTGCCATAGGTTGCAGGGGAGAAAAATAAGGAGATCTAGCATTTGGGTAAAAGAAATTGGCTTTAGGCCTCGTTAATCTACAATAGGTGATGTGCAAGTGTGAGTAGGTAAACATGCTTTTGAAATCCATGTTTAGTATTCTGCGTGCTCACCGCTGTGTGTTTGCATCATCTGTACTTCAGTGATAGATGTTACCACAAAGCTCCAAAATCAGCTGCATCTGTTTAGTCAACTGCAGTAAAAGCAAAACATCAGTAGGCTTTTTCTTTTTTTTTTTAGGAGGCTGCCAGTATTTTATTGTTTTCATTTTTTGGTGTCAATAAATCAAATGTGCAGTTGCTCTATCCTAATAGCAGTTCATGGGCATATTGCTTCATGTCAGTTTTTAAATGGTAGTCGGTTCTCACTGTTAAGTTTAAATTAAGCAAAAACTTCCTGTACAGTGTTTTTCATCATAGAGTCTTGGCTATTTGGAGAGGTACAAGCTCTCTTGATGCTGAAAAACCTCATGAGTGGTTGTGTTAGATGCCTATATTTCCAGTGCAGAAAACATTTGATACTAAATAGGTTATAAGGAAATATACCTTCAACTTTCATTAATTCCAGTTTTCCCAGTAACTGTTTGACTTTGCAATAACATCAAGTTTTTCTTTAAAAGTGCTTGTCTCAACCCTACTAGAGGTTTTCTTTGGATTTATTAGAAAAAAGGCTTTTTTAAAACTTTCATAATGGTAATGTAATTCTGTATGTCTCCGAAGCATTTGGTTAGTGTTGTTATTCATGTGGATGTCCTTTACAGTAATAGATCACTCCCTTTAAAAACATTTTCAGTCCTAAAACTACTGGGCATCGTCTGACTCCTGGTAATAGACTGGATTTGAAGCACTTGGCACTTGGAAGCGGGTCAGACCACAGCAGTTTGTGCCTTATTAGAAGCTTTAACTCACTGCTAGAGGGGCGGTTGACACCGGGTAACTTGATCCTGGATTTGAGACATTTCAGCCATAAAAATCCTGGCTTGTGAAAGAAATATCAGTATGACTGACAATGCTGGCCGAGCTGGCTGACTTGTGTCTCCGAATAAAGTGAAGGATGCACATAAATCTTTACAGGGTCAGGATTTCTGTGTGTTCAGATCGGATGCTGAGCTTAGGAGAGTGTTTCAGAGGTCGGTCATTAGCTTTCAACTAGAGTTTCTCTAGGCTAATCTCCTAGGAAGGAAAGCTATCACAACTTATGGCAAGATAAACCTCTGGGGTGTAACTATCGTCCTGTTTCTGGATTAAAGAACAGAGTAAAACCTGAAAAAATACAGCTACTAGTATTTAAAATAAAAGATGGCCTTGCACTACTCCTTTTAATCCAACAGTGAATTATGCATTATCTCAGTTTTAGGTAGCTGGTTTTTTGTATCTTATCTCATATCCTCCACATTTCAGTTTCTCCCTGGATGTGGCTTCAAGCCATCTAAAGGTGGACTACAAAAGGTTATTTTTGTGTACTTGTGGGGTTTTCGATGCTTAACCCATTTGAAAACTGTGTGAGCTGCATTTTCTGGCCTGTCTCACCTTGTGCACTTTCCTTTCCTCTTCTCTAACTTGCTCACCCATGCATTTTTGAGGTCATTACTCAATTTGTTACCCATGATAACATCTGAAGGGAGCTCTGAAAGGTAGATCTCTTGTAACTTTCAACAAAGTTGCCTGTGTTGGGCATGGAAGAAAGATCCCCAAGTATTGCAGTAGCATCTCAACCTTTTGTAAGTCCCAGGGAAGCCACATGGAAGAGAAAACATTGCAATGGCCCAACTCCAAGACTGCCTTCTTTCAGGCTTGTATTGTCACAGTTGCTAGAGAATACAACCAAAAGAGTCAGCTCTTGGTAAAAAGCAACTTCTATGTGGAGAGGGAGCTCCCCTCCACCTCATCCAACCCTGAATTATGCTCTACAAAGGTTACTTTTGAGAATTTAAGATCTAAGGAAGCTCAAGTGTTGCAATGTCAAGGAGAAAGCTCTAGTTTCAGACTTTGTAAAGAGACTTGGGTGATGGTGAGGGGAGGATTGAGGCAGAGAACTGAAACACGATTGGTTTTACATTATAATGCTTTAATCATATTCCTTAAAATGAAAGATTTATGGTGTGTGTGACTTAAAAGGTGTTAATTGAACTACTTAGTGGCTGCAAATCCCTAAACATTTTTCACCTGTCAGTTCCTGTTTTCCCCTCTCAGTCTATCCATAAATGCTTTTGAGTGAGTGTTAACCCCTTGTTAACACCATCAGACTTCGGTGGGACAGAACACTTAGCTTGATCTTTCCTGTGCCAGACCTAATGGACATGTTTTTGGCCATAGAAACCCTTCATTTTTCTCCATCTGTATTGATTGTTCCAATAAAGAAGTATTACTTCTCCCTACAAACCTGACACTTCTTGTACCCTGAGATCTATCACATCCCAAGCGGCACTGTTAAATTCTGTCCTTTATGTTTTTCTGGCTACTCAGTAATGTCTAATTTTCATCGTGATTTCTTTTTTGACAAGATGCAGTTACATGATTACCCTCTTCATAGTTCAGCTTGCAGTACCCAGCTCTCTTCTGCCTGTTAGATATGGATCTCCTGCTCGCCTAGCATGGAGCATCCATCCTCTAAGCAGCCAGGATGGCATTAGCATGTCTTCCTTTCTCTAGGACTCTCTCCACCTGCTGATGCTGCCTGACATACTTTCAGAAGCTGTCCAGATAGAGGACTGCCTTCTCTAAGATTTGGCCCTGGGCTGTATTCTTTCTGCTTTTGTGTGATGGCTAAACTTACAGTTGTTAGTTTTGGTGTTTTTTGGTTTTTTTTCCTTAAGCTCCTTGAGGTCCTGACTTGAGTGGAGATGAGATGGCAGGGGGAACGGGTTTGAACCAATAAATGTCTAGTGTGGTGTCTACCCCCTGCCATGAGTTGGAGACTCTTCCCAGCCCAGAGCACAGCTGTAGCTCCAGGGCTCTGAACTGCTCTTGCTTCCGTCGGCGACTGACTGCTCCACCTGGAAACAAGGCTCCAGGCATCAGACACTATTATCCCTGGACTGCTGCAGCCTTCACCCCACAGTGCCTGCCAGCTTCACTTGGTCCTCAGGGAGCCACTTAAGCCTCTCTGAATGAGGCTTCTAGCAAATCATGGGCTGTCAAGAGCTGCTTTTCTTTGTGGGTACCTGACGGTGGTAGAGCTTGTGTAATGATACCTCCTTGATGATACATATGTGGACAGTGCTTGTACCTACAAGGGCTGAGGACGCTAACACTTTCTAATTAATGACTGCTTTAACAACATTAAAAAAGGAAAGGGTGGTTTTTTTCCCTTTTCTGTGTAAAGGCTGCATTCCCAAGGAAATTGGGCTACATGTGTCTAGTGGAACCAAGAATTTGCCACGGTATAATATTCCTAAGTCAGTATCCGTGTATCTACATCATATTTCAATGGGTTGCTGCACTGATCAAAGCAGTACTAAAAAGTTACAGCATCATGGACTTCTAGTTCATATTGTTGGTTAAAACTTAGCCTCAAGGCTACCATAATCTAGTTAACTGTGTCAGAGCTGTTTGATGACCTGCCTGAATTGGATCTGTCAGTTCAGCTTCTGCTACATGCATCACAGTTGATACCAACTGGCGTGCTTTTGTGCCAGATGGTCCAAAAATTGGTGAACAAGTATTACAAATTTTCTTACCCCTGTCACATTTTTTGGGAGTCAGAGTGGAGGCATAGTGCCAGAACACTATGAATGTGACTTGGCAGTGTCGCTGCTCTTGTTTTGTCTGCTGATGGTTAGAGTTTGTCGGTGGAATTGTCATTTGGTTTTGCACAGCCACTTCATTCAGTTTAAATGTTATATATTTTGCAGTTCTTGATCAGAAATGTCTCCTAAACTGCCTGTAGCAAACAGACTGCTTTTTGTTTGCTAGGATAGGCAGGGGGGGTGTTTTTCCTCATTTACAGAAGGCTGGAAGTAGTTTCTCTAAAGTCAAACTTTCTTTTCACGTAGGTGCAGGTGTAGAGTGTTACGTACGTGCTAGGGGAGAGGTTGATTTACCATCCATGCACCTATGGATTTTACATGTAGAGTTTCTGTTAGGTGATATCTTTATGATACTAGCTATTGGCAAAAGGCTAAAAAGTCAAATCTCGAGCTCTGTGTGAGCATTGGTGTGAAATTCAGACAGCAAAACAATCACAGTATTACAGATTAATACTTTTATTTATTTTAAAAAGAAATCCCAAGCTGTAGCACTTCATATTGGAGGGGGCGACATCGCGTCAGCCAATAAAGCTTTTCTTTTAACTTGTGAGCCAAAGTTTGTTGTTTCCAGTGGGTTTTGGTTTTGTCCTTTCCTGAATGTTTCAGTGGGGTGGCTTGGTCAAGTGCTGTGTGCTTTGCCAAGACGCTAATAGCCTGACATATTGCAAGAATGATTCATGTGTTGTAAGGTATAATTGAATGTAAGATTGACTGGGGCTGTTCTTCTTTTTTAAGCTGTATCAGCTGGAGTAGTTACCACAAGAACCTGCTAGCCAGCAGCGACTATGAAGGCACAGTCATCCTGTGGGATGGATTCACGGGACAAAGATCCAAGGTCTACCAGGTAACGTGCCACCAGTGAGCAGTACTTTCCTACACCACGGACCGTGATGAGGGGAGCAGTATTCAGTCTGAGATCCTGCTTCTAGTCCAGCAATAGGCTTTTACGTTCCACGGGGTGAAATGGATGCTCCTCCAGTTTGGTAGATGTGTCTCAATCTGCACAGCTTTATTGAGCTGTAGTCCTCTGATGGAAGCAGGTATATCTCCTTGACACAGTCATGAGGCAATTGATGTTTTCTTGCTGCTGCTGGTAGGGAATCTGCACAGGGTAAAAGAGTTTCTGGAAGTTCTCTCCTTTCTTTAGAAAACTGTCTTTCGATACCTGTTGCACTTCAGGCTTTGTCAAAAGCCTTTTATAAAATCCTGCAGTGATTGCTGCTGCAGGTGCTCTTTAAGAAGAGCAAAATGCAGACTTAAGTGGCAAGGCTGGGAGAATCACAGAATCTTCTAGGTTGGAAGGGACCTTAAAGATCATCTTGTCCAACCATCAACCTAACTGACAAAAATAGACACCCACACAACAAACAAGGAACATCATCACTAAACCATACCTCCCAGCACTTCATCAACCCGTCTTTTGAACACCTCCAGGGATGGTGCCTCAACCACCTCCCTGGGCAGCCCATTCCAGTGTCTGATAACCCTATGAATGGCATGGTAGGCAGAACCCTTCTTGATACAGTCCTGCGCTCAGCAGAGCAACATGCTCACACAAGTGGGCTGAGCTCAACAGTGAGACCTCTTTCAGGAGAAGTTTCTGGCATTTTGTCTTTTCATGCAATTTAAACACCATGTTTCTGTATAAGGGATTCTCAGAGGCTTGTAATCAGAACAAGGAGGTTGGAAGAGAAGTTGGTCTGCTTGGGGAGAAGCTGGAAGTACTGCAGGCTGTTGTGTGGGTAGCATAGTGCACTGAAACTGGTCAGTGTTAAAGAATGAACTGCAGACTGGCCTTCAGTTCCCCCTTTCTTGACAGCTCAACATAAGTTTTAATTCCTGTTTAAGCCCTTGTTTACTTTTTCATTGTGCTTTGGCCATTTTATAATGCTTGTTTTCACTAATCCTTTGCATATCTCAATTAAAAAGAAATTATACTGGACAAAATAAATCTTGTCTGTTTTCCTCTCAAATATATTTTGCATTTCTTTATGAGGCTAAATAATGAACCTAGAGGGGACCAGCTGTTGCTTATGTTGTAACAAACTCATTTTGCTTCCTGTCAGATTACTTGAATTTTTTATTTGGATTTGCATAGAGGCATGCATACTGACATCTGCTTCGCATGCATTAGAAATCCTTTAGTCACTTTGTCCTGGTGAGCTTGTCATGACATCGTCTTGCAAGCCTGTATGAAGGCTTTAAACAAAGGGTTTGATTGAATTTTGGATTTCATTCAATGCAGTGTTTTGTTTCGATGTGGGATGTGCCAGTATAGCAAATACAGATTTTTTTTCTGTGTTTTGGGGGAGAGTGTGCAGCCTTGTAAGAATATTTGAATGGAAAACCACAGAATTAGATGTCAGAAGTTTTGTTTGATAACACAATAGGAAAGTGAGGATTTCCTGGACTTCCAGAGAGGAGATGTCTGAAACTGCTTTGAACAGGCAACTAATTAGTGGATCAGAGTTTTATTTCCCAATGCCAGAACAAGAGACATCGCACCTAAACCATGCTGGAAAACCAGGTTTTCAATGTGCATTTCCTGAAATAATTCTTTTTCTTTCAAGTAAAAAAAAAAAAAAAATCAGTTTTAGATTTAAAACTTCCATTCTACTGTTCTCTGCTTTCATGTCTAGCCTTCTACTAGCATTGGTCTGATTGGGAGAAAAGATATTTTTTGGGAAACTGCTAAACACAGTAAGCTTTTTCTGTCCAGGACTCTCCCAACAATTTATATTGAACAGCATGTGTTTGGGTTTTTTTACTAGTTTATCAGATTATGGCTCACTGCCCTGCAATATTTTTTCTCATTTCTCTAAACAGGAGCATGAGAAAAGGTGCTGGAGTGTTGACTTTAACTTGATGGACCCGAAACTATTGGCTTCAGGCTCCGATGATGCCAAAGGTATTATTCTTTTTCAGTCTCTGTGCAGAAGGTTTACACTTTGTGTATTCCCTTGGGGAAACAAAAATGTGATATTTCAAGTAGCTGATTCTTCAGCTGCCTTCAATATTGTAGTTGATGTGGTAATGTGTAAAGATATTACTAAACTGTTTGGATCTTAGTGAAGGGGAGGCTTTGTTTGGATTAATGTTTCTTGGTGCAGTGTTCACATTTTTCAAGTAATATGCTCTCTAGCTAGCATTTTCCAGGACACTAAACAAAGCAAAATGTGCTTTAACATTAGTTAAGCTTGTTGAGTTAAGGCCTTGGGGTCTTTCAAAAGAACAGCATGTATTTATATTTCAAAAATGAGGTTTTCAGTGAAAAGGCAGAAGTTAAAAACACCTGCTGCTGTTTTACCTGTAGCTCTGAATGTTAAAGACTGTGCACAATGAGAAGCTTCTCACTTTAACAACGTGCAGTCTATTTCTTGGAGCTTAACAGAGTTGGATGGTGGACTGAATGGGAGCACTGGGAGTTAACTGCCAGCTTTCCACACTCTGGTGTCTGTTGGACACAGAGCTTTTGGAGAGAACCCTTAAGACAAATGTTCCTCTTGTAAGAAGAAATGGGAAACTTCTAAAGAAAAGGATAGCACTGAGCGACATGCAGTGTTCTTCATCCCTAATGAACAAGATACTATCTGTAATACATTTACAATATCAAATTAGAGTTATTAAGCAGCAAGAGCTCTAGAGTTCCTTTCATAGTCAGTGAGGATCAACTCTCTCAGATGGGCTGATACAGCTCTGGACGGAGCTCTTCGTGATTTGCTTTGAAATGATAAATTAATTTTTCATAAACATTAAACTTTGAAAGCTGCTCCCCCTTGCAAACTGCTTTTTCAGTTCTATTTAAAAAAAAAAAAAGCTGTATTAGTGTTCCTCAATTGCATTTAGCAGTCTTAATGTAGCTGGTAATTCCATTTACAAAATGCTGCTTTAATGATTATTTTATATCTAAGGTGTGTTTTAAATATGTTTTGTTATACACTGCCCTTCCCTTTTTGGTGGAAGTCAGGACTTTTCTGTGTGCTTAAGTGCAGCAGAAGCGAACATTCACCTTGTAAATTATCAACCTCTTCATCTCGTTGCTCCCCACTCATGCTATGCATTTGAAAAAGCTTGTCTGCCAGGTAGACATGCATTTATTAGCATGTTAACAAGTCGTCCAGTTCTGCAAAGCCAGCTGCAAGCAGAGCTCCTGTCCCCATTTTAACAGTTCACTTCGTTCGTAATAGTTTCTGAAAACGTAGTGTTTACTTAGAAATTATTGTAATAAAGTCGACAGATCTACATAACTTGCATTTCAATTCACAAAGGTCCTTTGAAGGTGTATCGCGGTTTTGGGGAATAAAACTGGGCTGGAACATTTTATCCTTTACTTCTACCATGGTTTGCCTGTGATTTGCATACATAACCAGCCTATTAGAGACAAAAGGAGTGCCATGTGGAGGTATTTGAAATAAGCACAGATTTTAGAAGTCTTTAAGGTACAGAACAATAGTGGCGAATGTCCAAATTAATGTTACAGTGTCCACATTCCATTTCACTGATCACATTGAAAGGCTTAAATATGAGGAAATGATAATAGCTCTGGCAAGTGTCTTAACTCAAACCTGCCTAACTTAAATTATTGTCTGCTTATCATGTTCATGAGTGTTTAGTTGAGTTCTGGCTAGCTTTAGGTACATATATTATATGTTTGGCCAGGTACAGTGCCTGGGTGGAAGTCCAAGTTCTATGTACCCTTCCTGTCCTCTTTTGCTTCTCTGCTTGTGTGAGGCCACTCTGGGCTCTCTAACAAGAAATATCAATACTGATAGGTATTGGTGTGACTGGAGCAATTGGAGCTATTGTCACCACGCTTCCCCAGAAACCATGAATATAATAATTTCCTGTCAAGTGATCATGACAAGCTGGCAAAAAACTGACAGCTTTGCCAGTCCTTCCAACTTGTCTGTGTATCTGCCTGTCTCTCCTTGGTCTTTTCAGGTTGGAAGCTAATTTTTAAAGCACTTGGTATGCTTGATAGGTGTGTGTTGGGGAAGAAGCTTTTAGATGAAAAAAATCCTGTGCTTCACAGCTGTCTCTGCTCGGGCTCAGGCACAGCAAAGGGGATGCTAACGAGTGGAGTGCTCTTAGGGATAAAATGATTCTCATGTAATTACAAACAGCATCCTTGGGTCCTGCATTGTCCTCTTTGTTAGATGAAGATAATCCAGGAAGCTTATTTATGGAAGATCTTTCTACTTTAATAGCAGATAATGAGAGCATAAAAGCATTATTGTATTTGAAGTAACTACTGTGTGTATGAAAACCTCACTTTTATCTGCAGTTGTTATGCCCTTCCCTTTTAAAGGGGCAAAGGTAGTTGTGTATGTCTGTAGGGATTCAAAGGTGTACGCCAACTAGACAGCAGTGAGCACAATTAAAGTCTTTACTTGTGCTACAAGCAGCTTGTGGAAACAGCATGGTCTTAATTTCAGTTCTTTTATGCACATAGTAATGACAGGAGCTATGATTCGGATGTAAGTAGGAAAGGGTGAATTTCTGCTACAGGAGGAGAAAAGATCATTTAATTTTGTGAAGGCAAAATGATGCCATCAAAGTGCCAGGATAGAGCTGGAGCTAGTGTGCTTAGCTAATGACTTACAGCTGTCTGTTCTGGATTGGGAATGTTGTTTAGTTGTTGTGGTAAAGTTAGCAGACAGAGTGAAATATTTTGTGATGCCACGTGAGGAGAATTTAAGTCTCCGCTGGGGTAGAGACCTGTGTTGGAGTGATCAAGCATTTGTTCTCTGCTCTTGAGTTGTTTTTGAAGCTTGAGGAGATACGAGAAGTACTGACAAATTCAACTGAAGAAAAAGCCCTGGGTTTATGTCCTTTCTGTGAGCTGTAGCCCCTACACTGTTCCCGGATCAAAATGGAAAAGTGGAGCACAACAGGAGCACCTGAGAGCTCTGAGCCATAGCAAGAGGTTACTTTTTCCTTGTCTTATGGCAAGGAGGAATTCGAGCATCTGTTTCATTACATCTAAGAAAAGTAATTTCCATGCTACCTTGGTAAATAAGACCACTCAAACCAGTCCTACAGCCACTGGTTTTTTTATTATAGTGCCCCTGAATTCAGAGGGGCAATACAGATTTGCAGAGTTGGCTTCACAAAAAAGAAGCATGCCTTCTAGAGAGGGAACTAATCTGAGAACTGCAGATGAGAGTTTGCTCCTCTGCTTTGTTGAGGATTTCCAGAGGATTGTTTGGGGCTTCGTCTTCAGTGATAGTTTGTTCCTTTAGCTTTTGCTGACTTTTAACTGGAGGTATAGGTGTTTATTGCCCTTAAAATATCAGGTTAAACTTTCAGTTTGCTCATTTTCCTGGCTAAAAAGTTCTATAACTTCCTGATTTGTGGGGTTGTTGGATTCAAATGGAAATACCTTGAAGGTCAAGAATATGTTGGTAATTAAAATACCAACCTGTGTTTTATGTGTGTATGTGTATACACATATATTATGCTGTGTATTATGCAAGGAGGAGTACCCCGTGGTGATTACCTGCTAACGGTCATCAGTTTACTTTATCCTCCTGAAGCCACACAAGGCAGTGGATCAAAAGTTTTGCTTAGCAGGAAATGGAAATACCTTGAAGGTCAAGAATATGGTGGTAATTAAAATACCAACCTGTGTATTATGTGTGTATGTGTATACACATGTATTATGCTGTGTATTATGCAATGAGGAGTACCCTGTGGTGATTGCCTGCTAACAGTCATCAGTTTACTTTATCCTCCTAAAGCCACACAAGGCAGTACAATTCAGCATCTTCCCCCTTTCCTAGGGATTCTTCTAATCTGTGCACATGAGTTCTCTGGTAGCAATATTTTATTGCTGGTTTACAGCTTTTTCAGAGTTAACGGTAGCCCCTCCATCACATGACCAGATAAGAGTTTCAAGAATGACAGACTGGATGAAATATCCGTACTATCAGTGTACCAGCTGTGTACATCAACACCTTCAGCTATTGCAGTACAGGCTTCTGCTTCTTTTAGTCAGTGTTTAGACATGGAACTGATATATAGAAAATTAATTTACAAACTTACGTTTGGTGTAAAATCTCCAACCAAATAAAAAATATCTTGAAAAGACCTAAACATATTAAACAGAAAAAGTTGTTCTGGAGGCATATTCTTGTTAGGTGAGGAGTAGACATTTGGCCATGTAGACATGTCTCTCTGAGCAGCTGCAAAATTAGGACACATGCTTTGAGAATACATATTTTAGAAGGAGTCAATCTCAGATGGTTGCTTGTCTCATCAACACAATTGTAGGTGTTATCAAGACATCTGTACGTTGTATAATTACTGCCTCGACCTCAGCAAAATTGCTGAAAGCTACAGCAAATAAACTCTACCCTTATGAATTATGCTTTATTAACCTGTCAGTTCTTTTTAAAAAATAATGGGCAGTTCTAGGTGAAACTTGACATGTTTCATTACGTGTTGTTATATGCTGTATGTATCGTTTTTTTATGGCACTGACTAAGATATAATTGGAGCCCAGCATATCCCACAGCAGTTAGATCACAGAAATTACAGACTCTAATCTGCATCTGTTAGTTGTAACGAATATTATGATGGCTTTGAACACGCAGGTTGACTCTTCCCCAGATTAAACGTCTCAGTTTATGACCTGAAAACTTGAATGAAGAAAGGAGCCAAGTTGAAACTGAGCCCACAATTAGCTTTTGCTACAAAACTGAGACCAGATGGCCATTTGTTTATTAGAGGTGGTGTCAAGGAGAGACTTGGCTGCTTTAGATGCAACTTTAAATATTAATACCTGGTAGGAAGGCTTCAAGACAAGCCTGTGTGGTTTTAGTACTAAATTTGAGCAGAACATTGCTCTGAATTGTGAGACCATGTAACCTCCCCATATGCCTCAAGTTGATGCAAAGCTAAATTTGAGCAGAACATTGCTCTGAATTGAGACCATGTAACCTCCTCACATGCCTCAAGTTGATGCAACCTTATCTGCTAACAGTATTCTCTCATAATCATGGTATTACTTGCTTCCTATACCATCTCACCCATAAACTCGATGTCCTCTACGTCCACTGCAACTTAGACTAGACATCTCTTGGTGTCTGTTCACTAAAGCAAAACGCTGATGTTTTATTGTTTTGCAAAATTGTCATTCGTGGCTCCGTTCCCCTCCCTGACCCCTAGCGCTAAACACAACGGAGGAGGTATATCATCCAGCCCCACTTGGGAGAAGAAAGCATCTTAAGACATGCTTACAAAGCTGTTGGTGTCATTTAGAAATGTAGCTAGATGTTTAAGATCAATATTATAGCCCTGGTAAATGAGAATGGATTTTTATTTCTGAAAACCAACAATAGGTGGGTGCTGTTTTCATTGAATTTTACATAATGCTTATATGCAAATACAGCATGCGTCAGTGTTTGTCTTTCTGGTGTATGTGTGTGCTGCTTTATAATGGTTCCAGGCAGCTGTCAGATACCCACACAGTGCTGTATTTAAAATGAGTCCTTAGTGAGCTCTGAGCAGTCATGTATTGCCTTCATCTTTGAAGCAGTTCTCCTGGTTATGGTCAGAAATAGCACAATCTTGTTGCTTGGCACGCTATTAAAAAGTAGGTGCGCTAGAACGAACCTGCCAGTGTTCCTCCTTTTCTTTGACCATCTAAAACATCCTTGAGTAATCCATATGGAAGCCTGGCTGCTGCTTCAAAGCTCCTGGGAAAGACTGACCAAGAGATGGTACAGAGGGGTCCTCAGAGGGTGGGGGGACACACCATAAGACTGCTTACCCCATTTACTGACCACAGTGGGTAACAAGATTCTTGTTCTTTTGCTATTTTTGTTTGCTTCACCTCCAAAGTGAGCTTTCTCTAAAAAGACAGCAGACACCCATTGGCCACAGACCTGAAAAAGCCAAGGCTGCTTGTGGCAGCTGTTTAGGGGATTAAGCCTTAGGATATGTAGCTTCTGTGTGTTCAAACATTGGCTTTGCTTGCTCTGCTTTCTGCCTCTGCATGCTGATAGCTCAAATACAGCACAACCCACTCATCAAGAAAAAGGGGAAGGGAGAACATTTAAGTCTTACTTAAGTCTGTATTGTAGGCATCAATGTGGCTTGATGCCAGTGTGCTACCCCTTCACCTGGACCGTGGACAAAGGGAGTACCTGGCACTCTTCATCCTTAAGGTTAAATGGTACTTCAAGTGTTTGTGGAGGGTGGGGAAGGCTGTATTTTGAAAAGCCACTGGTGTTTTCTGTTGGTTGTCCTGTGAAGCACTGAAGTGAGTACCTGGGGGAAGAGCCCATTCTGTACCACGAAGCTGTTTGCTCAGTGGCCTTGTAGAACAGTAGAGTTGTTGTACCAAGGAAGTATATCATCACAGGAGGCCAGCATACTGATTTCTTTCCTGTCTGTGCCAGTTCCTTGAGAATAAAACAAGCTGTTCTCACTCACTGTGCTCAAGCATAGGTATGTTAGGTATGTTTATTCTGTGCAAAGCAATTCTGCCGTGGAGCATGGAGTTCTTGCAGCCCACATAAGGGACAAGGAACAAAAAGGGTGTAAGCCTTTCTGCTCTTGGTTATATGAATCTGCAGCCCAAATAGCCTTAAATGCTGAAACTCTAACGTGTGGTTAGTCACCTGCTCTGTTCTCAGCTGTGCAGGGTGTGGACTTTCAGCATCTCCTGTGTGTATTGAGGTGGTGTTTACAGTTTGCACTTGAGAATGTTTTCAAGCCTACCAGCCATCAGCAGCAACTGACCCTTTGTAATCACTAGCATCTTGGCAACTGATTTTTTTCAGACCCTACCAGCCATCAGCAGCAACTGACCCTTTATAATCACTAGCATCTTGGAACTGAATTTTTTCAGAATCCTATTTATGAAATAACTAGATTTTATGCCTTTCAAATGAAGTTGATTTTATTGTTTGTTTACTCATTTCTCTCTTTCTATTTCTCTAGTGAAGCTGTGGTCTACCAACTTGGACAACTCCGTAGCAAGCATCGAGGCCAAGGCTAACGTGTGTTGTGTCAAATTCAGCCCCTCTTCTAGGTATCACCTAGCTTTTGGCTGTGCAGGTAAGTAAAAGGGGTTTGGGGCAAAGAGATACTTTTACTTCCTTTCTTTGTTTCTTATTCCTGCCAAAGGTGTGAGGTTGGCTGCTGTGCCCAGGACTGAGGTGTCTTTGCAGTTAAAATGTCTCTGAGTTAGACTTTTCAATTGTGCAGTCACCCAGAAGACATTGTGATACCCAAGGGTCAGCTTCATCCTGCAGCCTGACTTTTTAATTTGGGTGATAAAAGGTCATGAAAGCAAGTCACTCAGTGTGTTTATTGAGATAAGGCAACCAGGCAAAGCTCAGCTTGGAGAGTCTCGTAGCAAAGTTAATGTGTTAACGTGGTGGTGGTTGTTCTTCCTGATTTATAGCGTTGCTCTATAAATACTACAGTCCCATACTGGGAATTTTAACTGGTTTTACCTGAGGCGTGCTGTAAAACAGTGGCTGTGCTTGTTTCCCATAGCTGCAACTACAATCCCCCTGGGAGGGATTGTGTTTTCCTAGGTTGGGCAAAGCATCACTGTTAATGTGGGTTTTTAAATAGTCAGCGGGGAAGGCATGATGAGCCTTTTATTCACTTAAATTAAATTGTTCTTGGTGATAATACAAAGATTCGAGAGCAGAGCAGGTGTCACTTTGGGAGGAAACTGTATCATGCTATGCGTGCAGCAACTGAAACTCGGAGTTGCCTATAAATGTTTAACCAACTCTGCATTTTCTTTCTCCTCGGGGAGTTTTAATGCACTTGTAACTAGATGTTCTGATGACATTTGCCATCTCTGGACTTCAGGAGATACGTTGATCATTCTTGCAACCACTGGTTTGCCATTTGATTTAGGTGTTCCAATTTCCAGGCTGCTTCTACTTATTGTGACTCTTAGGGGGAAAAATAAATTTGCATTTTGATACACTGCAAAAAATGGATTCAAGTTGGAGTGTAAAATATTGACTTGCTTGACAGGCATGTCGCTGAAGTTTAGTGAATTACATGCAAGAATAGAATTGAATTACAATACCTACCAGCAGCATTTGAATGAAAGGGGCTATCTGTGAAAGGCTCTAGGGAAAGATGAGAGCACCAGCTCCAAATGGATCAGCTGCTGATTAAAATAGAGATGTAAAAGCTCCATGAAACAGAATTTTCCCTGATAAATCAGTATCTGGGATTCCTTTCCACCTGAAAGAAGCATTAGGAAGCACTAGGTGTTGTCATGTAAAACCTCCATATTACATGTGCATTTTTATGATCTAGAGAATGCTGAGGGGTAAAATGGTATTTGTACTGGGGAAGAATGTGTAGGCGGAAGACAAGATAACATTTTAAAAGTGTTTACATCTGCTTGATGCTTGGTAATTGAGTCTCTAAATAAAAATTATAATGGATATTTAACTATGATTGCTGAAACAATTACATGAAGTAATTGAACTGATGGGAATGACTTCCCACAAAGGAATTCTAATTGATCTTCCAGCCATAAATACATGTGAAAAAAATGGCATATGAAATTAAAAGAAATACTGGGGTCTTGAAAGATGTTATTTCTGAGCTCCTAAAAAAATTCAGAGTAAAGAAATGAGTTTAGTGTCTGCCTCTGTACTCCATATCAGGATTTTCAAACAGTCCTGTTTCATGTGTTATGATGGAGACAGGCTTTTTCTCTTCCATCAGTTTCATCTGGTCTTGTTTACTAATTTTATTTGGTCTATGGAAAAAGCAATCTAACTTGTAAATAGCGTGATTTGTCACATGGTCTATAAAATTAATAAAGGAAGAGTCAAAGCTAGTTTCCTTGAGTAGTATTGGGGGAAAAAAAAAGGTGGATTGGGCACACTAACTTGGACGTTCCTGTCTGCCCCCCACTAGGAATAAAAATGAATGATGCAAAACACTAACTCAGTTACCAGTGCAGTGGGCAGTTTTAGAAAACTGCCCTGGCTTGTTCACATGCTCAGAGGATTTTCAGTTTTGAAAACTCTTTCAATTATTCAGTGATTTAGTCAATGGTAAAAGAGCCAAGACTTCCTAGCATTGCATGCCTAACAGAGTTTTGTATGATGTTTAGGCAGAAGCACTGCTCCTATATATACTCTCTTGTTTTATTTGTTGACTTCATGGAACTTAGTGCTATATACGTGTATATATATTTATAGTTTAAGACTTGACGAGATAAACAATTGATGAAATGGTTGGGTAATTATTGGTGCTTTGAGATGTAGAAGGAGGAAGTAAATTGGTTTAATATACCATCATTAAATTACCAAACCGTGTATATATATTTATAGTTTAAGACTTGATGAAATAAACAATTGATTAAATGGTTGGGGGAAGTATTGGTACTTTGAGATGTAAAAGGAGGGAAGTAAATTGATTTAATATACCATCATTAAATTACTAAACATACATGTTTCAATTCCCCCCCCCTTTCTCTGTATGCAGAATAACTTGCAAGCTAGTATGCCTTGCTTTAGCAGCTCAATTTTGTCTGCAAGACTATTTTTTTTCTGGCATTAATACTTTTAAATTATAATTTTTTTCAATTTTCATTTCTTGTTTTTATTTTCTCTTGAAGTTCGTTCTTAATCATCCATACAGCTGAAACCCCTTTTCATAAGGTCTTGCCTTTTCACACCTTGTTTATTGAAACATTTTCCTCTGCCCTTGGCAAATTCATCTTGCCCACTTGCCTCCATCTATTAGAAATGCCTCTTTGAAGTGGGTTTTCCTAATCAGATGCTTCCGACTAGATCAGCATCTCTTTGAATCTCTGTGCTATTTCCCCCTTTCCATTCACCACAGAAATGGCAGACCTATCTTAAGGTTCTATCTACTCATCTCCAGTTTACGTATCCTTTCTCATTTGTTAGTAAAATCTTGACTGTTGGTTTACCTCTGCCAGTGAAGCTATATTGTGCACAGTTAAAATATTCAGAGAGGTACCTTTGTGCTTTCTCTCACTTTCTCCGATTTTAGAAGAACTCCCTTTTGAAGAAAAATAGGAAGGAAGATACTGTAAAGTCCCATAGAGGTCTCCCAACATGGGGTGTGAATTATGTGAGCTGATGCAGCAGCCTGTTAAAATGTTCTCATTGCCCTTTTGTTCCCTGTGTGCCTCTATCTGCTGAAGGACTTCCAGCCCTCAAACTTAGGGACTCTTTGGGGTGAGACTCACTTCTGTGTGTCCTAGTGCTGAGGGTGATGGTGGCTTCACCCTCAGCTGGGTCCCTCAGCTCTACTGCAGGGACCATGTTGACACTATGTTGACTCTGGTAGACCCCTCACTGCTGTTTCTATCATACTGCTCCTCCTTCCTGGAGAACATCCCTTTCCTGAAAAGGACATGATGTTGGTTGGAATTGGGATTTATGTGGATTTCTTGCTCAAACCCTCTCTGCTTCATTATACCTGTTGGGTACACACTAGTAGTGATGATGGAAGGAGTTGCTGTGACATCTTGATTTAGATGTAACCACGGTCAAAAATGTTGTTAGATTGTGTATCTCCATATGGAGCACTTTTTCCTTTAGTAGAGTACTGGGTTGCCTTCCAGTGCCATAGAAAATCATGCTTTAGTTGCCACTATAGAAACAAATCCCAGGATTACCATCTAATATGGTTGATATATATGTTTCTTTTTTGGGCTCTTCAGTCTGAAAGCTTTTAGATGACCAAAAGATCATTTTGGTAGCTTAAAACAGAACAAATGCGCAATAAACTGGAAATAGAGCCTATACAAGAGAGGAATGGGTGTTTTGTTTGGGAAATAATTCTCTTAAAACCAGACAGGCACTTCAGGTGAGAAGGAAGGTAGTGTGTCTGGCTGCAGCCTGATAAAATCTGTTGCAGTGGAGAGGGCATATAAAGAAGAAAAGATCCCTTTTGTCTCTTACTTTAATAAAATATTCTATTTGCATGCTTACTGAATTGAAACATTGGGCAGTATAAACTGTAATCACTTCCGAATACCAAATCAGGTAATTTTGTGGTCTTTTCCTCTTTTTAAAAATAGATAGGGTTTTATCCTGAAATTAGCTATATAAATCATGACTGAAGTTGTTATCGTTCTGCCTCAGCAATAGCACTGATGTCCTCAACTCATATTTTTCTAGCAGTACCGTTTCCCTGCTTTAAAAAAAAAAAAAAAAAAGGCTGAAAATGCATGCAATTGTCAGCTTGGATGTCCAAGCTGTGCAGTCTGGGTGAGATCAGACTGTCTGCTAACTCTAGTGAGCTAAGTGTAGCTATTGATAGTAGTGATGCTTTATTCCCAGCATGCTGTAATACTGTCAGCAGCTACCACTGACCTTTTATTTCCCATATATTATGCAGAGATCATGTCATCTAAACTTCAGATTCCTGAGTTCTTACACTAGATGCATCATCCTCTTGCATGCTATATTTTTTTCCCCCATAGGACCCACAAATCTAGCAGGTTGGATTGGAGGATGAGAGGGGTTCCTCAGGGCTACAGAGATGCAGGGCAGAGACTACCTGCTCTCCAGGAGCTTCACAAAATAAGTGGATGCAGCAGACAAGTACAGATGGACAGAGGAGAGCAATAGCTTCGACATGGCCAGAGCTTAAGGGTTTGCTGGGTTAGTTTTAACCTTGATCAGGTCTCCAAACAACTTCACTGCATTGTCACAAATTCTTGAGAGTGTGGGTTCAGATCACAGAATCACAGAATCTTAGTGGTTGGAAGGGACCTCTGAGATCGAGTCCAACCACAAAAAAAAAAAAAAACAAAAAAAAAAAAACAAAACCAAACAAATACAAAACACACCACACCAAATGCCCACCAAAAACACCGCACCCACCAACTAAACCCCACACTCAACACCTCACCATAAACCAATAACCTTGGGCACTAGAGCATGCCCTGAAGAGCCATGTCTACACGTTTCTTAAATACCTCCAGGGATGGTGACTCCACCACCTCCCTGGGCAGGCTGTTCCAGTGCCTGACCACCCTCTCAGTAAAGTAGTTCTTTCTAATATCTAATCTAAATCTCCCTTGCTGC